TAGCCATTGGACGGTTTAACAACATCTATAATTTACATCAATTGACCGATCTGACAGTACTAAAGATCGGTTTATGGTATGAATCGAATGTCGCTGATATGCAGCTGTTGGCAAACGGTCTTGTGAAACTTGAACGTCTTTACATTACAAATTATAAAAGCGTCGATTTCATTTTGTCATTCATTTGTCACTCGTTGAAGTTGAACAAAATTAAAGTGATTTCATCGTTAGACAATGATGGAGCTATGAATTTGAAAATGTTGAATGAAGAACGCACCAAGTTGGCCGGAGCACGAAAAGTACTGATTTATGCAACTGAAGATATTTTCTTGTCCACCAAATGGGAGACCAAAAACGGCGACACCAATTTGAACTTAATCGAGATTCGACGTTTGACCTCGTCGAAGGGATGAATATTAACTAAACAACCATTTTTTTAAATTCTATTCACCATATGTTCACCTAAATTTCAAATATTCTCCCATCTCTTCATAAATGAACTAAAAGACACTCGAATATCTCGAAATATCGTAAAATTAAGTTTTAATAAAGGAAAACCTAAATTAGTTTATTATCGAATTAAATTTTTTGTTTAATCATAATTAATGTTAGTTATGAAAAACGGATAAAGAAACATTTCCATATGTCTTAGTAAATTCTTTAATAAAGTGAACTTTAATCAACCAAAAGTCTTTATAGTACATGTTTTTTTTTTCATTGAACATTTATTTAAATTCTATTTGATACTTCAATAGATTTCGGCTTTAATCGAGAAGTTCTTTTCTCGTACAAAATCTGCATCAAACTAATGCATTCAACCTATACATTCAAAATCTTGATATTGAGAAAGAATTCTTTAATGATGAGCATCGCTCAGCATGACCAATTATATAATTTCCCATTGAACTGATACACATATTTTCAGTCTCTTGATGGCACGTTGTATGACTAACGTTTTCTTTTATCTCATTTTGTCACAATTTCAACATTAAATGAATTTTTTTTCAACTTTCTTCTCATAAATAGTTTTTTTTTATCAAATGATTGGTGTTAGGTGAGTATAATAATCAATCATATCAAAAACAAAACTACCGAATCAATCATTCGGAATGATAAGAAAATATCAATTGTATTCCACTCATCCAATAGGTTATGTATCGCTCAAATGCTAAGATTTTGGTTAAAATTACTTGATTTATAGCCCTTTGGAAAGAAAAAGGCTTTCTTCCTCTTTACCCGAACGAATAATAATTTTCTAAACGAAATCTAAATCTAAGCCCAACAAATTTGATAAGTCATTTATGCTGAAAAATAAAAGGAATGCATATTTCAAATATTTATACTGCAAAACGAAAATTGTGTATAGAAAAACTAGCGTATAACGCTGCGTTGATGAATCATTGAAATGAATCATTCAATAAAAAATGTTGTTAAATTTTTTTGGCTATCTACTGTCAAAATAACACGCAATAAAAAATTTGTGTATAAAAAATGTTTTATTAATTTTGTGTTGTTTCACATTTGTACACGAAATGAAATGAATATTCACTTGTCGAATATTATTCAAAACAGATCATTGCTATTGACGTAAAACTTCTACCAATTTCATCTGACGTCAGCCTTTCACGACCACAAAAGACAAAAATTAAAGCATATGTAGATTTATTCAAAAAGTAGTTTATTCAAGTGACCGTCAAAGTTCTTCCTTAGCTCGTCTAGATTTGATAAAACGCGTAGTTTGGTCAGTTGATTGCTAAGTTCAACAGCATTTCCGCATAATCTGCCAGATTTTGAAATTTTACTAAATGATGCACTCGATTCCAACGTTTTTTTCATCTCTGTCATATAATTGGTGCGGCACTCCAAATCGTTGTGGGCATCGGACTCAATTGTGTTTGCCTTTGAAGAATCGTTTTGTACAGCATTCAAATAATTTAAATAAGCATTTTCTAATACGTCAAGCTTCTTTCGTTTCTTTATCTCCTCTTCATGGGCATTTTTAAAATCGATAAAAACTTCACTGATTATTCGTTGATGGTTATTTTTCAGCTGTGAAATGTGTGGCACGGTTTGTTTATATTTTCCCAAATTATCTTCAAACATTTTAAGCGTGAATAGAGCAGTCATCTTTCGTTTGTCACCATTTTGTAATTTACTTACAAAGGTCTTCACATTATTGAATACTCTTTCGAATTTACTCAAATCATCTTTCAAATTTACAGTCTCGGGCCCTTGGCCACTTTGATCAGCAAATGCCAAATTTATCTGTTTTCCAAAAAAAATGAAATGAAAAAAAATTAATTTTTTTTTTCAACTTTATATTATTTTTCTTTTACTCACAGCAAAGACAAAGATGACTGCCGAAAAAGTAAAATTTATGAAACGTTTCATTTTACGGGATGACTTCAAATACACTGTCTACAACTCAAAATATTCAGCGTCCTTATATACATGCTTGAAAGGTGTTTTTCACATTTTTATAAAACGAAGAATGCGATTCGAATTAATACGGCCTATGTACATTTCAATATTTAATTATTCAAGTAGTTGAATATGATAATTTAGGAAAGTGCAACCAATGAATATGGATGAATATCATTTCTGCCCAAGTATTCATTTCAATTTCAGTAATGAGATTCTAAAAGAGATATAATTTTTTGTCGTAAAATCTATATCAATTTTAGGGACTCTCCACCTTTCTGAAATTTTGAATAACAATTAACAAACAGTTTGACTTTTCCGCACAAACGCATAGTTTCCTTGAAAAAATCACAAAAAAAAATGAATTTTTGTATGGGAATCATGCCTGTATGCTACCTTAATGACGTGAAACTTTACACAGACTATTTTTACACAAAAAATAATATTCTGAAAGTTTGAAGAGATTTCAATCAAAATTAGGGTGTACCTCCCCAAATACAAAATTTTCCCCAATTCGAAATTTCTCCAAACTCTCCGAATGTTATTTTTTTTGTGAAAAAAAAAAAATAACCCGTGCAAAGTTTCACGTCTTTACGATACCATACAGGCATGATTCCCATACAAAAATCCAAATTTTTTGTGACTTTTGCATGAAAAGTGCTTCAAAAATAATTTTCATAAACAGCAGTTATTTGAGCTATTTCACGGTGAAAAATACACACTAATGAAAACTTCAATTAATTATGTACTGAAACCTTAATGCGATTGTGAAGTGGCACTCCTCTTGTACGACACACCCAATGTATCGCTTCTTTTTTCAGAGAAGGTAACCACTAAATCGTCTTTTGTTCAATGTTTTGTAAACACTAGTCATGTAAAGTGAAGTGATATTCAAGTTAATTTAAATGTTGATTATTAGTTTTTAAGCAATCACTAGAAATCAAGGTTGAAATCAATTGAATTTATTTGGTTTGCGGATCTGCTAACTAGTAATGGATAAAACACAAGTGAAAATGGTATCATTGACTCACAGTTGTTTCGCCAGTTTGAGAATGGGCACTATTATAGTAGATACAGTTTTTACCGTTCTGCATGTTTGTGGCTTGTGTATTGTTTTTGGAAAAACCACGTGGGAAAATGAGTGCTACTTTAAATTCAATGCGCTATTGCAAGGTGAGTAAACAGAATTGATACCATTTTCACTGCTCTTTTCACATTTATTCAAGTAGTAACAAACGTGTTGCATATAGTTTTTGGTTTAGTTGCAAGCATATTCGGACTTTATGGAACCTTATTTGTGAGTAGATGAGAAACGGTATTTTCGATGCCTAAACAACTTTTTATTATCTCATTTTGGTTTATATGAAAAATTGTTCTTTTATTTCACTCAAGGAAAACCAAACCTTTATCATACCAATGGTTCTTGTGTTGGTGGTTGAAATTGTGGCAGTGTTCTTGTTGTCCGTTAAAATCATCTTCAAATTTTGTGAATCGAAAACATTTTATTCATTGAATTTCTACCATTGGGGACAAAGTACAACAAAGTAAGTCCACATTTGAAAATTTTGCACACAGACATTATATTGACTTATTTTCATCCAGATGAATCAGCGCAGGCTGCTTACTTCAGGCGCTGAAATGGAGCGAAAACAATAGAAGTGAATGTTATGTTTTTTGCAAGAATTTACAACAATCACTTTCATCGTTGTCGCTACATTTCGGCGCCTGACGTCAGTAGCCTGAGCTTATTCATCTGGCTGAAAATATCTCAATATAATATCTCTTTAAACATTATAACTTTAAAAAACGTTTATTGATCATATCTCTTTGCAGTATTGTTTCAAAGGTAGAACACACGGTGATTGTCCTTCTGCTCTGGGTTTTATCATGTAAATATTTAAAAGTCGCATTGTTAATCAATCGAAAAGAAACTTCTTAAAAACGTTCTAAAAAAATCGTATTTTTAGATATTCTTTACAATTTATGGAAGCAACAATATGCACTATATGAATCTATGACAGAAACCAACATTAGAAATTGTAATCCAGAGAATGGAACTGATTTACTGAAGGGATATGACTACAAAAATACCACTGATTCAATCGAAAATATTTTATAAACCAGAATCACTGATTCGAAGAGATTTTGGGAAAATGAAGACATTTTTTATTAAAATATAGTTAAATTTAACATTCGATGTTCGGAAGTTTTTTTTATTGGGTCCCTAAAAAAATGACAATTTTTCGTGATAAACATTATGTTCAACAAAAGAAAAGGAAAAAAGTTTCAAGCTTTCGGTAAAAATTGCTGAAATGCACCTTAAATAACTATAATTGAAAGATCGCTCTTCCATAAACTGCATCGTAGTAAAACACGAGTAAACATCGCAGGAGATTGAGTTGGACATTTTTGTAGTGGAAAATGATACATCAACCGTTTACATTGAATCCTCTCCGATTCTCCTTAAATACCAGTGTCATTGTGATAAAAGGTCCGTTGAGTGAATTATAAAGTTTGACATTTCCATGCACATTTCCAGTGCATCTTTTATTCGGCGTAGATGAAAACATCTATAAGATGAACTTCAACTTTGTTCAACCTATTTTCAATAAATAAAGTGTCTTTGAGCCAGCGATGAAATCTAACGTTAATAGATTTTGTAAATTTTCAAATAACGAAAGTCCTTCACAAGTGTGTAACAAACAACAATAATTAAGATTCAAATTTTTGTGCAAAGATAAGTTGTGCGTGTCTCTAATACTTTTCTGTTGTTGTTGTTTCCAGTACCTCTTAGTGACAGTGCAACATCAAAGTATTGCTCAACAATAAAGAGTTAAATCTGATAATTGAACTAAAAATCAAGACTTGCGCATATGTTTGTTTTCTCCTTTCACTCATAGTCATTTTAGTGAAATGTCAATATTCCATTTAGATTTAAATTTCCCGCGCTTTTTTACTGTTCTGTGCCATCGTCACTGAACATTTTATATTCCTTGTTTTGTATTATTTTCTTAAAAAGTGTCAGTTAAAGTTGGACAGAAACTGTTAAAAGTTGAAAAAAGTTAAATATCAAAACTGTTACAGTTGGACAAAAAAAAAAGTAAAAATATGTTGTGTCCAACGGTGAAAACATGTTGCTATTGTATTAATCTAAAAGTAGCTGGTATTGCACTGGGTCTATTAGATATTTTTTTTCGTTCGGTACATCTTTACATTGTGATGCTTGAAATTATTCAAAAGAATCAATCGATGTAAGTCTTGAATTTACAAGATGATTATTTAATTTTTCCAAAAATGAATTCTCTTTTTTTCAAAAGAAGGAGTGAAATCCATCAAAATGAAGAAGGAATTATTTTACGGGGATTTACAATTGTGGCACATTGTAAGTATAATATTGTGCAACGCAAGCTCGCATTGTGAAAGTCACAGCAGTTTTGAACAGTTAAACATGTTAAAATGCATTCTTACAGTCATCTGCATACCGATCAGCATACTATGGTTAATTGGAATCTTCATGGTAAATGTGTTTGAATAATATTTCGATGAAAGAACGACAGACACTTTTATGGTGTATATAGCAAATGTTCAATAATTTTTTTTATATTCTCAGAAAAAGCCGGGGTTAATGTTATCGTTTGTCATTACATCGTTCATAACATTATTGGTATTGGCGGTGTCACTGTCTGTTTTTTGGTTTGTTGCACTTCAATATCGAAGACGGACTTTAGTTTTGTTTGTCATTTGCTTTTGTTTATCAGGTAATTCACGAACAAAAAATGTTCTCCCATTGTCTTGATAATTTTTCGTCATTTTCAGCAATTTGTTTTCATCTCTGGATCGTTGAGTTTTCCTTGTATCAATCCACCAAGAATCTAAATGCTGTGAGAAATGACCGACAAAATGAGTGCGAACTACAAGATTGGCACAGAAATGACGATTTTTGACCATTTTCACGATAAAAATTCAGCATTTTTTTTTAATTGTAGTGATCATTTATGTATTATTCAAAATAAATATATGCGAAGATGGCAACAACCCCAAATACGAAGTTGTTTAAATTAATTGGAATTGAATAATTGACCAAGTATTTTCACCATGTTAACTTCTTCTCCTGAAAATACCGGAAAATACACATGAATGACTCAACATTGGAATTGTATACATTACTTTGACCTACAAACAGAGACTACTATGAGAGTATTAAGTTCACTGATTTGTTGTGACGAGACATGTTTTACACGTGGTTCAGCAGGGCGAAGCCAGCAAGGTGTCTTCATTATACATTTTACTTTTCCGCAGACACCGATTGTGTAAGGTAAAGTATTTTTTTATCATAGATCGGATAGAAAACGTTGTATTCAAACCAAAGAAAAGGTAAACCGCATGTTTGAAGTGAGTGAAAGGGAGAATATGATATGAACACGTAAGTTTACATGAAAAATATTTACCGCATGTCACCTTTTTCCCAAATTCAAAGAAAATGAGTTGTTGAGTGTCAAGTTCATGATTTCCCGCGTGTGTACTATCGCTTTATGTCAATAATGGAGTGAATAAATTTTCACTCAAAGAAAACCGTATTCAATTTCTTTTTCCAATTCCTCATTTCAGCAATTGGAGCAAATTTTCCTCAATTGGAGTAGTTTTTGCCAGTAAATCGTCTGTCAGTTGAGAAATTGTTTATTGACATTACGGCGATAAACAATATTTGTAGTGTCTCTGATTAAATCTTGTAATTTTTCCAACTTTTCCAAAATATTTTGTAGTTTTCTTGGCATTTTCCTCCGATTTCTATCTTAATCAAGTTTAATGTGCTAAAAGTTACACCAATTTGCTGTTAACCAACGTTTTGAAGAAAACAATGAAAATTCTTACAGTGAAGCAATGCTGTTTTTGCGTCGATTTAAAAATTGCTGGCATAACTTTGGGCGTGTTGGACATTTTATTGCATTTCTATTTGATTTGTATGGAATATTTTAAGGTTCAAAATATGTATTATTCAGATCCATAGTAAGTATCATTTTATCGCATCGAAGAAAGTATCCTAGACAAGTTTGGGCTCATGTCGTAAACCATGACACATTTTGGAAAATATTGTTCAATTGTTTTAATTTTTACCCAAATTTGTAATAAAATCCGTTTCAATTGATTGTTATTTTAGTTATGATCCACTTTGGGAAGGCAACGCCAAAGCTAAATGGATAATTGCGTTGAATTGTAAGTAATGTACTATAATACTATGCGATGAATGTGTATGTGTGTGTGTGTGTCAGAACTGAAGCATTTATAATATACTCCGTTTTCGTAGGTATTGCTATATTCGTTGGGGCGTGTTGGATTCGTGGGATTTTTCAAGTAATTTTTTTAATGTGAAATTGTACTTTTATTGCACGTGCAGTGGAAATTGAGTTCAAAATCATTTGAATACGTAAACAAACTACGAACATTTACAATGAAATGTTCAATTTCAAACAAAATTCATTTGTATTGTAGACGTAACAATTCACAACAATTTAAATAATATTGTTATATTTTTCACAGGAGAAGCCGAGGTTAATGCTGCCTACACTTTTTACAACATCCGTTATAATTGCTTACCTCATTTTCTCCTCGATAGCCGCACTTTGTGCGTCATCGCAATTCGACGAATACACAATTTTTGAAATTTTAGTTTTACGTAAGTTTGAGTGGTTTTTTTATTAAGAGAATCCAATTGAATAAATATTTTTAAATGTTTTTTTAACAGTTTTGCTATTTCATTTTTGGTTGGTTCAATATTCTCTATACAAATCAATAAAGGACATTGACAATAATAATCGAAGCCAGAGTAGGAATGTGAATGAAAATGAAACTCCATAAATTTCGTTTGGAAGGACTTTGTGGGAACAGAGTGGTTTATTTTTAAAGTAACGATGAAATACTTCTTTCTCTAATTACTTACAATTTTCAATTTACTAATAAAATATAACTTATATAATAGCTTGAACAAATTAAAATTATAAATAAAGGTATTGTTTATTTTATTACCGTTTAGTTTGTTTCATTCGTACATACTAAATTACCCCTTTATGGTCAGTAATAAAACATCTCTGCCAGAAATTCTTTGGATAGAATAATCGTCAACATCTGAAAATAAGTTGACAGTTTTGCTGACTCAAATAACACTTAGCGAGTTCTGGCTTTAATATTGGAAGTATAATTACGAATACGAACGAACGCGAACCAAATATGTTTTATATTATAGACTATCAGTTCATATATTAATTATGACATGACATCTCTACTTCACACTGTAACCGGCCTTATGTTAAAATACTTATTTATTTATGAAAATAGTGACAAACTATGGATGAAAACTATGAATTTGGGGTGACTATATGTTGAGCCTAATACAATACTTCATTTCCCACGCAGCATAGTGAGCGCATTGTATTTAAAGATTTTTTCGCATTGTCTAGAACTACATCGGTAATGTGCGAAGGGTCAACCCCCTGTGATTTCGCATGGAATTTATTCGTATTTGCCCGGGTTTTTGATTCAAAGTGAACAGACTATTTTTATGATAAATTATGAGTCCTCATATGCCTAGTGAAACTAATCTTTAGCTTGAATCGCTTCATACACCGATCACATTGATATGGTTTTTCTCTATTGTGACTTCGCATATGCACAGTAAGTTCACTCTTTTGTGTAAATCGCTTCATACACCGATCACATTGATATGGTTTTTCTCCCGTATGTATTTTCATATGTGCTTTTATTGCAGTCTTTGAAATAGTAACATACTTTTTCTTATTTTCATCCCTGTTGCATAGATAGCACTCATATCGACGTCGTTTACAGTCCCTTTCATGTAACTCTTTTTCAATATTTTGTAAAAATCCACGGTGACAACCTGAACAGTGAAATCGGTTATTATCTTTATGAGTCCGCATATGCCCAGTGAGATGAGGTTTTTGGGTAAATCGCTTCTCACACTGATCACATTGATATGGTTTTTCTCCAGTATGTATTTTCATATGTGCTTCTATTGCAGCCTTTGAAATAGTAACATATCTTTTCTTATTCTCATCCTTATTGCAAAGATAGCATTCATATCGACGTCGTTCGCACTCCCTTTCATGTGCTGCTTTTTCAATATTTTGCGAAAATCCACGGTGACAACCTGAACAGTGGAAAAAACTATCCTTATGAGTACGCATATGGTTATTGAGATGTTCAACTCGCGTAAATCTCTTCTTACACTTATCACATCGATATGGCCTTTTTCCAGTATGTATTTTCATATGTTCTTCTAATGTACTCCTTCCAAGAGTAGAATACTTCTTCTTATTTTCATCACTGTTGCAAAGATAGCACTCATATCGACGTCGTTTACACTCTCTTTCGTGTACTTCTTTATCGATATTTTGCGAAAATCCACGGTAACACCCAGAACAGTGGAACAGATTATCCTTATGAGTACGCATATGGTTATTGAGATGGTGTTTTTGGGTAAATCGCTTCTTACACCGATCACATTGATATCGTTTTTCTCCAGTGTGTATTCTCATATGCAAAGTGAGAGCACACTTTAGACCAAATCGGTTCTTACACTGATCACATTGATATGGTTTTTCTCCTGTATGTATTCTCATATGATTTTCTACTGCACGTTTCGAAAGACTAACGCACTTTTTCTTATTCTCATCCTTGTTGCAAAGATAGCACTCATATCGACGTCGTTTACACTCCTTTTCATGCTTCTCTTTATCAATATTTTGTATAAATCCACGATGACATCCTGAACAGTGGAACAGACTATCCTTATGAGTGCGCATATGCTTATCGAGATGGTTACTTTGGTTAAATCGCTTGTTACACTGATCACATTGATATCGTTTTTCTCCACTGTGAGTTCGCCTAACACTAGATATTTTCGAGTTTTTTTCTACATTTTTGTGGGATCTCTGAACGTCCGTTTTCTTTTTCTTTGTTTGACCGCCGATACCTCTATTGGATTTCTCTTTATTTCCGTTACTTTTATTTTTTTGGGAAACCCATTTATCAAGTGTCGATTGACCATTTCTCGCATTTCCAGCTACATTCACATTTGTCTCGTTGTTGCCAGCAATTTTATTGAAAATATTCGGCAAATTCGATCTTACATGCTTAGCTTCATTTTCAATGTTTTCTTTCTCGATTTTGACACGTCCAGAACAGTTTGACTCTGTCTTATATACACGGGTCAGTTGATTGGTCGGAACACGAACTATGGGAATCTCTTCATTTTCCAAATCTTCTTTTTCTTCTTTCGTTTCGACATTGGGTATCTCCGCGCCAACTGTGTGATCATCGCTTTCATCATGATCATCATCATGCTTTAATGTCACGATCAACATTTCGAAAAGCAGTTTCTCTGGATGGTTGCGAGCTGGTGTTGGGCCTTTCATCTGAACTTTCATCATCGCTGATTTCAATAATTGGATTTGAGTTGTTATCATCAGTTAAAATTGGAGCGACATTTCTACCTCGATTTCTATTGAACGACGAATCACATTCAAATTTGGAATAAACTTCATTTAATCTAAAGAAAAGAAATTATTATCATTAATGAACGGCATAAAATACAAAATTCAAGGATGATTTACCTGTCAATTGAACGCTTTAGACAATATTTCTGATGTGCTTGTTGGAACGATTGACCTGATTGTTCGAAACAGTTACTAATATTTCGTAGTGATGACGTCGCCTGGCATTCAATATTCGCCAACATTTTGTCCAGTTCTTGCATCCAATCATCGTTCGACATTTTCAAACAGTTTCTTATGATATAACTCTCGGCGCAACTTTACTTTTGTAAATTGAATTCGCTTGACTTTCACAAGTTCTTTTCTCAACAAAGACGTTTTAACGACTGAATTGAAAGAAATTCATTTGGAGATTTGAAGTTTTTCAACATCAACAAATAAAATGTAAAAACCACAACAAGAAGCCTTTTTGAAAGTATTGAAACAGAATAATTAAGAACGATTGTTCCTAATTATAACTACTCGACTTTGGATCTACATCATAGGTAACGTATTGAATGCAGTTGAACGCGAGACATTTTTTGCACCTTCTTACTCGTTTGTTCGTTTTTGCTATCCATTGTTTAGAAACAATATGATGTCATTGAAAGTAAACTAAAGTAAATTAATCCTTACTGTTTGGTTTATGGTCAGATTTTTGGATTATAGAAAAAAAAAAACAATTTATTAATTAACTACTGTAGTTATAAAAAAACAATGGAGACAAGTCAACCGTGAGAAAGTGAATTTATTTAATATTAAACATAGGCTCCTGAAATTGGCAACCCAAGAGAAGGATTTTAATCCCTCATTTTTCTAGGGGGTGATTTTGTCTCCGAAAAATGGAAATCCAAAAAAATCATCAATTTATTCGGTAAAAGGTCGAAAAAATCGAAAGAATTTTCTTTACAAAACTTCTAACAAAGAGAGGTTTTTGATTCTACTCGAATCAAATTAAAATACGGCAAGGGAGAAATTGGCTATCTGAAAACCCTAGCAAATTGAAAGAATGGACGCCTCGAAAAACTGACTACCAAAAAAGTTGGATTATGTATTGTATATTTTTCAATGGCTGACTCGGTTACTAGATACGTGGAAAAAACGAACAGTTCTTTCCACGCGGAATTCAAAAATTATCCGAGTAAAATGTCTAACGATGGACTTTAAAAATATGTCTATAAAATAAATGGCTATTTTGAAGAAGAAACGTTAAATTTGAACTTATTATTACTCCCAGTATTTGAATACAACCGCCTATCTCCATTCGTTTATGACATAGAGCAATATCCCTAATTCAGGAAGACATAAAAACCCTAAATATTTATTTAGAAATATTTTGAAAATTGCTTCAAATAATATTTTTTTGGTTTTTTCATACAATCATGAAAATTTTTCATGATGATAATTCTCATTTACATGCGTAAGCATTTACAATAATAACATTTGTTCAAATAGACTAAAAAAGAATAAATTTAAGTTCAGAATTCAAGGGCTCGAAACACAACACCGATAATGTTGTTATATCGCATTCGCCGATGAGCTGATTCAAAACAGGTGTAATAGCGTACGCGTTTAGCAAATAGTAGTAAGACACGTAGCCTATAACCGTACTCAATAATTCAAAATTTTGTATAAATAAAGTCTCTCTTAATGAGAGTTTCATCAAAAAGTGTCGAAAGTTGGTTGGGATTACTAATAAAACTATTTCTCACGCATAAAAATGCTGAAACGAACATTCATCACCCAAATATTATTATTTGGGATTTTTGCCATTGTAATTGAGGCAGCACCCAAAAAAGGGAGTGACGGTGCAAGTTCAAGTTCATTCAATCCGATGAAATCGTTGAAAAAAATGCTCACAAAAGAGACATTTTTGAAGAAATTTGAAGTACGTGATGTTGACAGTGGTAAAAACGTGAACTATACCATTAAATATATACCTGAATCAAAATTTGGCGAAGTACTGAAATTGATGTCCGAACATTATTTGAGAGACGAACCGTTATCCGCTTCGAGTATGTATTATTTGTTTATATTTTTTTGTTGTTCGATATTAACAAAAGTTTTAATTTTTTTTAATAGAATCCAATGATCGCGAAGAAGCCAAAGAAAAATGGTTGCAAATACTACATGATAAGAAGTCAGTGGCCTGCTTTGATCAATCAAACAATATCGTCGGTATATGTTTGTTATATGTAAGTGACTGGATCAGTTAATATATTATTTCGATTTGATTTCAAGTTACAAATGATGAATTTTATGCTTAGACAAAACCAAAACATCCAGATCCAGAAAAACAATTGATGACTGGTTTTAATATATTTGAATACTACGGAGTGAATGCGTATTTGAGAGGCGATAGTATGTTAGGTAATTTGTAATAAAAAATCATATTGTTAGGTAATCCTCCTAAAGAAAGTAAATTTATTAATAAAAATAATAATTTAAAAAAAAATTATTTTTAGTTTTACCAAAATATCGTGGACTTAGTATTGGAAAACATATGTTGTCGTGCGGGAAGAAAATTTGTAAAGATTCTGGCTTAAAAGTTATGTCAAGCCATTTTACATCCAATTATTCGAATCGCATAGCCGATGAACTTGGCTATGAGCCAAACGGAGAATACGGGTAACTGATGACAGCTATCAATTAATATTTGATTTCACTGATTTTAGTTATATGTTTTGCAGACAAGTCGGTGATCATACAATTTATTTGAAGTCAATTAAATATGACTAGAACCGCCGATGGTCGAATATATATATCAACCTATAGAAGAAATGATACACATGCACACTTTTTTTACACAAAAAACTCAACAACACCAATAATAAGCAGATTTTCAGATTTTTCGCCTTCCTGGTCACAATTTTGGGATAGGTAGTCAATTTCCGGTCGATGTCAATTTTCGAAAAATCGTATATACTACTAAAATGTACTAATTATGTACAATTATGTACAACAATTATTATGATTATGTACCAACAAAAATTTTTCAGAATTTGGATTTTTAAAAATTGAAAATATCAAAACCCGGA